TTAGAAAAAGTTTTTACGAGTTTTCGTAAAAGAATTAAGTTTTATACAGATTCTAATGATACGCACTTCAAAAATATTTATCATTACCTTACTTAATTATTAGCATATTTTTCATCAATAAATAATGATATACAAATATTTTACTTAATTTTATTTTTTCAGTTAAAGATTAAATTTTCAAGTACGTCACACTTAGGAAATGATTAAAATAATGTAATCTGCGATGTTATTTATTTATTGTTTTGGTTGAATTTTCGAAAACGGCCACCATTCGATTATCAAGAATTTTAACAAAAATACTCTAAATACGTCAAATGAATGCCCTTAAATGGATTTTCACCAACAAGAAGGTTTAACACCAAAAACGTTTGAATGAAGTTATAGAAGTTTGTAGTTATTAAAAAATAATAAAATAATAAATTTGTAGAGTTATTATTTTAGACAAAAATTTTAAAATATAATAACATTTAAAACATTATTTTAGTATACTGCATATTTATTTGCTAAAGGGTAAACACAACTTTCATGTAAAGTGACTCTCACCTACATTGGTTGCCAAAAAGAGTACATTTTCAAAAAAAAAAAAAAAAAAAAAAAAGATATATTCGTACATATAACATTATTAAAATTGGAAAATTAAAATTAATTCGAATTAAAAAAAAACTCAATCTTTTATGTATCAAACGTATATATATGTACAGTCTTTAGGTGTCACGAACCAATTAGAGGGCCGCATTCGCATCTTAAGACATTACTTAAGACAGTCTTCAAATAAGAACTGACTATATGAATACCTAACACAACCTAGTACAAACCAAGCATAACTTCGTATAAATTTATAAATATTAAATAATAATTTTTTACATTCTGTCTCATTTTTAAAAAAAGAGTACAATAAGTGAAAAGTAAGAGTACACTGTTTTCCGACATCGAAAAGAGTACATGTACTCTTTAAAGAGTACGGTTGGTAACCCTACTCTCACCTCACCTCCTCCCTATTTTAAGAGCGCACAACTTCCATGCGAAGCGATTCTCCCCCCCACACCCCCTGCTTTAAGAGCGTACGACTTCCACGCGAAGCAATACTCATCCCAACTATCCCCTGCTTCAAGGATACATGATTTCTACACGAAATGAGTTCCATCACATGATCTCTAACCTCTCTATGGATGCACGAAAGTGGGTAGGTCTTCTTGGAGGTCAGAGTTAAATATCAGTTTCTCGAAAGTAATTTACAGTGAGCTATGTAACGGTAATGCATTTTTCGGAAATATCACCCAGGTTTCCCCGAGTATCATCTTGTTGTTCATCCAATGTTAAAGAAGAGTAACACGATACTGAGGGGTACTCGGGTGATATTTCCGAACGCAGTCTAGATTGTTGGCCGTTTTCGGAAATCTAGTCATTGTTTTTGTTAAATTAATCGATCCAATGTGTTTCAAGACATTTTCATTGTATTATTGTAAGAGATTTCAACATCAAATCTATAAATCTGATGTGACTCCAACAATTAATACAAGAATATTAAATTTGTATTAGCTGAGGATGACTCTAAAGCGAGTCGAAACGTTCTATATATTTTTATGGTTGATTTGAAATAAAGGATTTATGTGACACAAATCCACTTATTATTAATTTGCGTACCAATTAGAACGCTGCACTCTCATTCGCTTTCGATTATTGGAATTCATGTATTTAATTTTTTCAATTACTGGAATTTATATATTTAATTTTTATTTTGTATCCATTAAAAACTGCAGACTTTCCTCTTTTCAATTTTTGTTTTTTCAATAACTAAATACATTCGAAAATGACAGCTGATTAGTTTCAACACATTCCCATGGGACACTCTTGATATATTACTTTATATATTACTTTGAAACATTTTTTATTTTTTATTGCGGTACTTCAAATTTTTAAAATAAAGATTTATGTACATGGAAGTGCAGAACAGCGTAACATGCTGATAATCATCAGCCTTTATCTACATCTATTGTCCACAAATATTTTATTATAAATACATTACTAATTATTTATACCTTATTCAATAAGCATTTAAATTATGAGCAATTGAAAATAATATAAATCCAAGAAAAACAGAATTCGAATTGCAAAAATAAAATTTTTCTGATTTTAGATGAACCGTTCTTCATTTCTATTATTGACTTATACCTTCACTTATGTTATTGTGATTTATAATAAGATTTTTACTTTATGTAATTTGTGCTGAATTTCAGCACAATCATAATTTAATTATTTTGTCAATTATATATAAAATTAAACTAAAAACACAAGTAAAATTAGGTATTAAGATAAAAATAGTTAAATCTATTTAATTCTGTTATCAAACGAAGACTGTGATGTTTCATAAATTCATAATTATTAAACACTTAATATTATACTTCTTCAATTTTTCATATTTATATATGTACATAAAGCTAAAATATGAAATTTTGAAGAGTCTTAGTTGTATAACAAGGCTATTTCTTCTTATGAAGTAATTCAGTAGTGAGAGAGTTAAAAGTTAATTGCAATTGAAAAAAATTTTTTTAATTAAACTAATTATATTTTAGTATTTATATATTGTAAATTATGAAGCTTTGCTGATATATAAGAAACAAATGTTAAACTAATAAAACTACATATATATATATATATATATATAATGAACGAAATTTCTATAAGAACACCATGATTTACTGACAGAAATTGATTTATTCCATTAATTTTTACTAGTTATATGTCGAAACCTTATGAATACCACAGTATCTTTGCTGTGATGATGTAAACAAACTTGAGAGTTTTTAGTATTGTAAAAAAAAGAAATTAGCATAAACAAGAATATTAGCCAATGTAGATACGAAATATATATAGGAACAATAACATATACTTAATTAAGTCTTCTTGCATCACCCGTCTTTGTCGGGTGTTTGTTTCCGTTATATTTTTGAAAAGTGTAGCCGACTTTGACTGTGCCTTGCGATTACTCTAAATCTGCCTAGCGGTCCCACGATTTTGGATGTCCCATTCGTTCGTCCTGACGCGCATATTAGCGGCGCAACGACGTCGTGGACGCAGGCGCCCGGTGTTCGTGCGGTTCTCGCCATTTTCGCGGGTTATTGCGTCATTCGTTAAGACTTTATGTTACTCACCGCCTTGTGCGGCATTTTCGTTACTGACCGTATTGACTTAGTTCTGGTCGTGTGCCATTCATTGAAGATTAAAACTTAATTGTCTTTCACCGGTTAGATCCGAAATATTATCCTCACTAAGAGACCGTCACATAATGACCAAAAAGTTAGATGATGATTTTGTGATAATCCGATAGAGTACTTTTCAATGAATGAAATGTGAAGTTCATTTGCTAATGTAACGCGTATTACTGGATTTTTGAACCGAGAAGGTTGACTGCCAGTGAGATTCGCAAAGCTTATAGTCAGGACATCATTGCACTCTCAAACACGCATATACAGTTAAATGGTATGAGAATGGCCATTGGTCACTAACATTGGGCGCATTCAGCAGAAAAGAGCGCTACGAGAGCGCTCGCTGTTATTGGTATATTCTTCCGGATTTAAAATTCTGATTGGATGATCTAGAAGAATACACCAATAACAGCGAGCGCTCTCGTAGCGCTCTTTTCTGCTGAATGCGCCCATTGATGATACCGATAATCATATGGGCTGCTGGTGAAGTAGCAAGAGTTTTAGAATTGCCAATGACTAAACAACGTGTGCAGCAAATACTACAGCAAGATAAAAGGTTAAAGTGGACAAAGGTCATTGAAGCCACCTCTTACACAAAGTCGTAAAACTGCAAGATTAGATTTTGCTCAAAATCGTATAGCTTGGCGTGAAGAATGGAAGAATGTCGTATTTTCTGACGAAAAAAAGTTTAACCTAGATGGACTCGACGATTTTATTACTGACACGATTTATGAACTGATAAGGCAGTAGCCATGAGCAGAAATTTCGGCGGAGGAAGTTTAATGATGTAGGCTGCGTTTAGTTATTCTTCAAAGATGCAGATATGCAATACCGGAATGAACACAGATAAATATATCGACTTATTAAAAAATCGACTGTTTAATTCCATTTATCGAAGAAAATATTATTTTTCAGCAAGACAACGCTGCTATACACAGTGCGAAGAAGACACAGGAGTGGTTCTGACAGAAAAATTTACCACTTATGAAGTTGGCCAGTACGTTTGCCGGATTTAAATTCCATAGAGAAATTATAGGGAATTCTATCAAGAGCAGTATAATAGAAATAATAAACAGTACAGTAAAAGAATTAGAAAACGCTGTAAGAATGGAAGAAAATTGATATTACGACATTGCAAAAGTTAGTTTGTAGTATGGAAAATAGAATATATGAGATAATTAGGCGTAATGGTCGAAGTACTAATATTACAATTGTTATGCTTTTTGTAATACTTTAATAGATTGTTCCTACGCAAATTTCGTTATTTTTCTATATGCTTATTATTATATCTCGTTTATAAAAAAAAAATAAAATGGTTTATTCATTCTTAATATTGGTTTCTTGTTTTATTATTATTCCTTCATAATTTTCTAACCTTCCTTTAGTTTTATTCGCAAAAAATTTAATTTTTTTGTTAAAAATAGTAGTGTTCTCATAGAAATTTCGTCCACTGTATATTCAACAATATGTATAAAATGACGAAATCTCTTCACATACATCACATTTTAAATAAATAGTTTTTCAAAAGTTTGTCATTTAGAGAACTAATTAATGATTCATAAATTTCTTGGCAAACTTGATATACAACTTAGACTAAAAATGATGAAAGACAATGGTTATAACTACAGCTTTAAAACCTCACATAGCGATTATGATAAAATAAGAAACTAAATATTAAGACAGCAAGCGAATGACTTTCAAACTAAATATAGATTAATAGATTAATACAAGAACAAAAGAAAGAGAAGAGAGATGATGAAGGATAGTGTGTGTAAGAAGTATTTTATGCATTACCTCTAGCAATAGCAGCAGTCTTTGACCCAATTTTATTCTTCTTTGCTGCTAAGAAAGAATCAAAGTATTAATATATAATAAATATTTTAACCTTATAATAAAATGTTTGTTTTTTATGGGAGTAGGAGGACTAATATAGAACTTTAAGGAGAACTTACTTGGCAGGCTAAAGGGTGCAGATTCAAAGGGATCCTCTGGTAATTCAGTATACGTCATAACAAGGCTTTCGCGACTTTTTACACCACTGATACTGGTGTTGCTTCCTCTTCTTATTTTATCAAATTCAGCACCAAATATATGATCTTCCGTTAACTGATTAAATGGTTGTACATCCTCAAACGGATTCCATATCGCTACATCTGCACTCAATGACCTCCCCTCTGATCCCATTAAGCTTGAAAGTTCGCCCTGATAAAAATGTAGACAAGCTTTTTAAGTATTAACTGTTTTTAAGAAATACTTTCAATATCAATAATTACTTGAAGATGAGGAATTATCACTAATAATAGTGCAGTGCATAAAATAATAATAATAATATACAAATACAAGAATTATATTTAAAAAAACAAGATTTTAAATCAAAATAAAATAAAATTTCACATTTCTTATATAACTTAGATATTTTTATCCAAAATTATTTTATTTGTATTATGGAATAATTTGCCAATGTCTCTAAAACAACTTCATCTTTTCGTGTATAATGTTAGATATAATTTTAAATTTGCAATTTACTATAATAAGATTATTCATAATAACTACATGAATTAAGGGAGTCTAAAAAAAAATTAAACTTTTCTTATTGTGTTAATATTTTAAATTTACTATAATAAATATAAAATGAAATTTTTTTTCCAATAATGTAAAACGCGATTCTGTATGCGGACCAACGTTATTAAACAAACAAAAAAAAAATATAAAATTGTGCGCTTCGTGTGTACTTACAACACGTACATGCGAGGCACTGGTTGCTATACAAGGTCTTGTATCATTTGGAAGTTCCGGTGGCGTAGTCGTATCATCTGAACGTGGCTTAACCGAAGCCTCATATGGCGCTAAGAATTGAGTAGTTTCAGTTGCAAATGCTCTGTAAATGTCGAAATGATCATTACAATATAAATAAAAATATTTTAGTGCGAAAAAAGAAAAAGATATCCTGATAAAATTGTCTTAAAACGTGTATGTCATATACGGCAGCGTTAATTTATTAGTGTACAAATTAGTTCGGTCGGTTTTTGTGTTCAAAAATGTATTTATTTCAAAACAAAATGAATGAACAGATTAATTAAAGTATTGTCCATCGCTGGCTACTACTTTTTCCCATCTCTCAGGCAATTTTCAAATTCCATCTCGAAAAAATGACTCGTCTTTGGAGGCGATCATCTTATGGAAAACGGACTTAACTAATTTGTACTCCAATAAAAAAATTTGCCAAATATTTAAGTATCAGTTTTGCAAAGGACCCCGCACGTTTTATACGGAAAAATAACTCTGGTCAAATTGGTCCGTTTTGAGATAGTGTATTTTTTATGATTCTGAACAAATGGCTCCATTGCCACATATATAATACAATCAATAGATAAAAAGATACAGCGTTTTGAAATCACAGAATTTGAATATCTTCATTCTTTTATATGTAATAAATATACATCAGAGCTGGGACTAAGCATTTCGGCACCCAAGACAAAATAAAAAAATACATCCCTTAGTAAAAAATATTTTTATAACATGTGAAATATAATAAGAAATAATATCAATTAATGATAATTAATAGTAATTAATAATATATATTAATATTAATTTAATATAATCACGTGTACAGAAAAGGAGTTTTACGTTATAACCATACAAATTTACATGTATATTACAAATGAAATAGTTACTAACATCACAATATCTTTCGTATTTTGATAGATGCGAAATTATCAATTATTATATTAAAATCTACATCCTTACATATTTTATTTTCAATTGAAAGAATTCCTATGTTTCTTCGACGTAAAGCGTGCCGTGTAAGGGACTGCGCAAAATAAAAGAAACAGAGAATAAGAATTTCAAGCTATCAGAAACTGTGTATTCCACAGTACATGATTTCTGATAGGTTGAAATTCTTATTCTCTGTTCTCTGTTACCTGCTCCTTTTATTCTGAGCAGCTCCATGGGTGCATCCTGACGGAGAAAGAAATAATAGAACGGAAAAATAACGGAAAAGAGATAGTAGGAAATTAGATCATAGTAAACGCTCAACGGCGGGTGCAATTTACTTAGCGCTATAAATGCTTCGAAATATTTGACCAATCAAAAAAATTTTTTTAGTAGTAGACTAATTAAAAAAAGTTTTAAATTTAATATTTTAGTATTCAGTGGGCCGTAACTCAAAATCACCAATTAATGAAATTAGAATATGTAGAAAATTATATTGCCATTTTTGCGCCCCCTTCAAAATTTACACGAGGCAAATACCTAGCTCGCCACACTCTTGTCCTGGCTCTGGTATACATATGCATATATTCTTGAATGTGTGGACTCTGTATGCGTGCGTGCGTGCATGCGCGCATATGTAATTATGTATGAGTATTCGATCGTATATGATTTCTCATAAGAGAGCGTGTTTATAAAATACTATACACATTATCGCGCGCGCGCGCGCACACACACATAAAAACATGCACACACACATGTATACATATATAAAGTGTCCAGAAAATCGCCTGTCCCACTTCGGGAAGTGATTCTAAAAAAAAAAAGGGAAAAAAGAGACATAGATCCTGAAATAAGACATTTCCGAGTTATTGCCAATTTATATTTAAAAAATTATAATTTATTTTTTATAATCATAATTTATTTTATAGTTATTGATATATATATATATATTTTTTTGAAATTTTAAACACCCATTCAAACGTGTAGCGGGGATCGATAAACTAAGAAAAAAAAGTCCTGTAAGGATATGCACGTTTTTGCTTTGTTTTTGGAGAAAATTGCAAAAAATAACAAAATGTAGTTTTCAGTTTTGAACTTTTTTATTACTTATTTACGCTGTATTTATTCACTTGTTTAATGTAGATATTGTTCAAAATGTTGGTTTCTTGCAGCAATGGAAACATTGCGTCTAGTACGGACAATTCGTGTTACAGCTACACATTGATCTGGTGATATTTGGTGCACTGCAGTCTCCATTCAATTTTTCAATTGTTCTTTTGAGTTGATTGACGACGAAAATTTCTTGCTTTAGAACCCTCACACAAAGAAGTTCAGTGGTGTTAGATCAGATGATCGGGGTGGCCAAGATACTACTCCACGTTCAATCCATCATCACGGATAATGTCTGTGTAGCCAAGTTGGAATAGCTCCGCCATAATGAGCTGGACACCGAGTTGAAACCATTTCAATCCGTTGTTGCAGATGGATGTCTTCTAACTAATCAAAGAAGTCAGTCTCCAAAAAATCGATATATCGGCTGCATTTAATCTGTCAGGTAAAAAAATGGTCCCACTAGAGAGTCGTTCCAAATTCCGAGCCAAACGTTAATAGCAAACTCATGCTGGAACGTACTGTCACTAACAGCTCTGGGATTTTCATGAGTCCATACATCATAATTGTTTTGATTAATTTTCACATGAAAACAAAATTATTATTATTGTTTTTGTGTATGATTTAACGACGATAATACTTTAGAGACAGTGCAAAAATGAAGTAACTATGTTTTGTCTTTTTTTGAGATTTTCTCCAAAACGAAGAAAAAACAAGCATATCTCTATAGGACTTTTTTCTTAGTTTATCAATTCCCTACACGCTCCCGAAGTTTAGCTATTTCAATTCCAAACACCCTTTGCGCGCGCGTGGGGTGTGTGTGTGTGTGTGTGTGTGTCACTTATTTTTGACGGATTGCTGATCGGCTAAAGTCCGAATACAGAGTAAACGTAGTTGTAGTTATAAGAATTGACCAATTAGTGTTGAATACAAGGAGAATATCCAACTATGATTGGAGAATTCTTACAACGATCACCTACAACTGCGTTTACGCGACTGTAGATCAAGCTCAGATTACAATTGAATTGCTGATTCCAAAGAGAGTTGAAACGTTCAAAATTTCTAAATAAGAATAATTTCACTGAACAACGGAATTAAGTTAATTATTTCAAATTAATAATTTGCGAACTTCCTCCCGCATTGGCTCTTATTAGCTTTGAATTTATTTATTATTGTTATTTTTAAAGATAGAATCCTTATGAATATTATTTATTTCATAGTATTTTAACATAAATAATTTTATTTCGCATCAAAGAATTATTTATGTGAAAACACCATATAAAATAAATTATGATTATAAACAATAAATTATGACATTTTTAATATAAAAGTAGCTATAATTCGGAAACATCTTACTTCCGAATCTATGTTTATATAGCTTTTTCTTCCTTTTTGGGTTCCGAATCACTTCCTGAAATAGAATCGGCGATTTTCTGGGTACTCTGTATATGTATACAAGTTTGCGCGTGCGTGTGTGCGCACGTGTGAATGTGTATAGTGTTTTATATAAACACACTTATAAAATCACATACGATAAAATACACATACATAACTGTACACACACATGCACATGCAGATACGTATACAGAGCCTTCTCATTCAAAAATACATGCGTATGTATATCTATTGCACATAAAAGGAAGCATCAAATTACCTTGAGAAGATATGGCGGTACTCAAATTTTATGACTTCAAAGCGCTATATCTTTTTATCTGTTGATTTTATGTAAATGCAATGGAGACATTTGTTCAGAATCGCAAAAAGTATAACGTATCTCAAAATGGACCAATTTAACCAGTGTTATTTTTTCATATAAAACGTGCGAGATCCTTTTCGCAAAATCCTATAGATATAAAAAACAGTTTTAAATATAGATATAATAGAGATTTACTTATTAAAAGCACTCGTGTCACTGACGTTCCTCCTATGACGTGAGGACGATAGTGTCGGACTATCAGGCGGAGATATGCTCGAACTTATATTTTGACTCAAGCTTTCTGTCTTATTAACCGGTTTCGGCAAAGCCGGTGGCGTCACCGCAGATGGAGTCGTCTTGTTAGGTCCCGTCGGAATGGATAATTTCGACGGTAATGAAGTGACTGGCGGATACTTGGATGACGATGGATAACTAGGATTAGACAATTTCGGAAGAATCTTGCCGGGTTTCGGTGCAACAGGAGGTGGTATTTTGGCAGGTGGCGGCATCGCTCTCGCGTCATCCTTGAATGGATCCGGATACCCTATAAAAGCGACAATATGAAAAAAAATCGTTTGATCCTTTTTATTTGCTTTTACTTCGTGATACTTATAAGGGAAGTGCCCAAAGTGATAATTGCGAATTGATACAAAATATATATCGTTGGAAAGGTCTCGTCGAGTAGAATTCAACTATGCAATATTTCGCTTGAATGGCGATTCTAGAGGGCGTTATGTGCAATAGAAGTTACAGGTACAAGATCCTCTAAGTCTTTAAAGTATCTCAAAACCAATTTAAAAAAAAATAGTAGTGCCGACATTTAATTATGGATACTTTAACCTCCGTTATTTGCTGATGAAATATTATCACGATCCCAGAGTGCGCCACGGGGAGGCATTTATAATAGAATTTTACACTCCATTTTTTCTATTTTTTGTTTTCAATTTTTTTTATTTATTTTACTTTATATTTTTTGTTTTTAATTTCTTATTTTCTATATGTTTTTTAAGTGCTATGTTGGATCCACTATTTTAAACTTAAAAACTTAGACTCTGGATTCATTACTAGCGATAAAAAGACCCTTATAGATAAAGTTCCATATAAAATATGGAATTATTCGCTCTCACCAGTTTTGGAAAAAAAAAATTTCAGCGAACTGGTTAATAAAATATAAATCGCGGTTTTCGTTTCACTTCAGAAATAAAAACGAAGAGATGAAAAGGAAAAGCATAAAGACTAATAATAATGGTAAGGTTGGAAAAAACTGTTGAGCATCATATATGACCCTAGAAACTCAAAGTCAAATTTTTATTATTATTAGGTAGACTTTGTATAATTTCTTTTGCACATAACGCCCTTCAGAAGCGCCATTCAAACGAAATATTGCACAGTTAAACTTTACTCAGCGAGACCTTTCGAACGATATATATTTTGTATCAATTCGCAATTATTACTTTGGGCACTCTCTTGTTAGATGTGTCGTTATTACTTAGATTACCTGATGGTGGAAATAGAGATTCCAAATTTGTCTCATTTACGTTTGTCGTAACTCTCACGTCATGTTGCCTCGAATCAAAATAGAATGCATTTTTATCTGGAACAGTAACGGGTGACTGCTGAGTTAAAGGAGAATGACTAATCATCGGGCTCTGCGATTGACCGTACTGCGAAGGCTGTACTTGCGCCTGACAGAAGGGGACATTTTGATTGGGAGTGCAAACGTGTGGCGATACCTGACAGGAAAAAACGATTATATTAAACGTTTGCTGAAAATACTCAAACATTTCTGTATATTTCAAACAGAAAAATCGAGCATGTAAGCGATTTATTAGCCTTACTTGAACATAAGAGATAGAATTTGATGGCGTAGTTTGTGTCTGATTTCCTTGGCCTGATATTTGTCCTACGATTTGACCACCCAAACTAATCGGTCCTGTGCTAACGGCTTGCCCCTTTGGTCTTTGTCTCGGAGTCACAGACGTGCCCTCAACAGTCGTCGTTAAAGGAGTAGGTTTTGGAGTTTTTACAGACGCCGATCTTTTAATATTCTCGGATTCCATAGGTGGACATGATAATGATTCTATCGTCGGGGTAGGGACTTTCTGTAAAGATAAGTTCGCGCGAGAACTAAATTATTCAAAAAAACAATACGTAAGAGACATATTTGATATAAATTTACAATAATACTTGTACTATTATAGTTGTGTAAATATTACAATCTACATACATATAAATTTTGCACAGGACACTCTTTGTCTTGAATTTGAAAAGCAATTATAGAAACTTGATAAATATCAGGACGTATATCAGGATCTGGCTCAAGCATATATCGAATTAAACAATGGAGTGCTTTACTATATCTGTAATATAAAAACATTTTATGTATACATCTAATCTACTTAACATATGTATACATATATATATATATCATGTGTTATTTATTTTCTTTATTCATTAAATAATTAAATTAATTCATTAAGTAATTAAAATTAGAATAATTTGTGTCTTAACTTTGTAACGTAACTTTTCACATACCTTGAATTATCCGGTATAGTAAAATTTCCAGATTGTATAGCAAGCGTGCTTTCGCCAAACGGTAATGTAAAAAAGCAGAGTTTATACAACAAACATCCCAAAGCCTGAAAGACAGGAATTCTATGTAAAAACCTCACCGACAAGATTTTTTTAATTTATTTACATATCACTTCCTTTAAAAACAACACATTCAAAATAATGATTTTTTAGTTATTAGCATGAATAAACCAGAGTTAAGATGCGTCCAGATTATCGTGTCTAGAGTAGCAAGCATTTCGGTAAGCATTTATTACGCAACTTCGAAAAAGACTTCAAATGTTTACCGACATGCTCGCAACTTCAGGTTCGATTCAATGATCGGTTTGATAATTTAAATGCATCTTTAGATAAATATTACTCTAACAATATTATTTGTTTATTTTTTAAAAATGTCAAAAACGTCACAACTTTTAACCTTTGTTTCAAAAAAGGTGATTTTAAAAAGAGAATCGTAACAATAAAAAAAAAATTAAGAATATCGTAATAATTTAAAGAGTAGTAGTTTAAAGGATTATATATTACATACACTGAGAGTAAAATTGTTATAAATATTTGTTTTGAACATTGCCAGTTGAATATTTAAATGTAAGGCTGAACTTCCGAAAATAACCTTTATCATGAATTTTAGCAGAAATACCCCAAATAACATCAAATAAATGCCCTTACACAGATTTTCACCGACAAGAAAATTAAAAAATGTTTGAATGAAATTATAGAAGTTTGTGCATATTATATTTAGTATATTACATGTTTATCGCAGTTTATATAAGAGTTGAGTAGAGGGGAACTTCCACGGAAAGTGGAACTACCTCTTTTCTGCTAAAAGGGCGCACGACTTCCACGCGAAGCGACATTTATCCCACCTATCTCCTACTTCAGGGATACACGATTTCCACGCAAATGAGTTTCATCACATAACCCCTCCCCCCTTTATGGATGCACGAAAGTGGGTAGATCTTCTTGGAGGTCAGGGTTAATATCAAAGTCTCTCGTAAGTAATTTACAATGAGCTATGTATAATAACGGTAATGCATTTAAGTGGTATATAACTTAAACATTTTGGCATTAAATCTTTTTGTCGATGAAAATCCATTTAATGGCATTCATTTGACGTCATTTGGAGTGTTTCTGTTAAAATTTATGGCAACTGGATGTCGGTCATTTTCAGAAGTTTATCTAAAAGTAAATATACACTTGTCAACAAAATTATCACAACATAAATTTAAGTAAACATAATTCCGTCGTATTTAAATTTTTTTTTCATTCTCAAAAAGTAAAGTTTGTACTTTAAAAAGCTTTCGATAAATTTTCAGGAGACGCGGTGGTAGTGTCTCCAGCCATGTGTTGAAAAACTGAAAGACACTACAAGTCTCTACCCGAGCCACCAAAGTCCATTTTTCGGGGGTGCATAACTACTAAAATATAAAAAATGTTTAATCGGTCAAGCCGTTCTGGAGATACAAGCGGTCAAAAAGTGATGACTTTAATGAAAAATTAAGAAACGTCTCCTTCTTCTTCTTCTTCTTCTTCTTCTTCATCATCTTCTTCTTCTTCTCCTTCTTCTCTGTCCGCCGTATTAAAACTTTCTAACATCCCCTCCTCTCACCTTTCACTCACACCTTTATAATCTTCGACTTACCGCACCCCCTCCCCCACCCCCCACTCTTTCACCGTATTTCACTCTCTTTCATTATATAATATTTTTAAATCATTTTTTTAATATATTTGTGATATATTTGTACTCTAAAAAGTAAATGATATCTGAAAAAGATCGTATAAAAATGAAAAGTTTAAGCCATGTTCAAAAAAGGATACTCAAAAATTTAAACCTTTTTATCTAATAATAATATATTAACTGATATATTAACTAATATATTAACTGATATATTATTAATTAAAGGTGCCAGTACAAAGTGAACATACATAAAGTGTATGTAACTTTCGGCCGATTTTCGAATCGCCTCCGCCTTCG